GGTACTGATGGTTATGTAGGAAATGTGTTATCAAGTTGTTCTTTGTTGGGCGTTTTCGAATTTTACTTTTCTTTCTGCTGGGGGGTATTCCATTCCCTCCCAGACCTCCCGGTAACATTTTCTTTAACAAAACGTTCAGCCTCGAGGACTATCATGATTTTTTTGTGAAGAAATTATCATATCTCTCATTTCCAAAGAAGTTGTTGTGACGAATGTGTCACATGGGGGTCTGGGGGGTATGGAATACCCCCCCAGTATACGACAGTTCCATTGCCATTTCTACTTAACCATCATGAGGGTACTGATGGTTATGTAGGAAGTTGTTCTTTGTTGGGCGTTTTCGAATTTTACTTTTCTTTCTGCTGGGGGGTATTCCATACCCTCCCAGACCTCCCGGTAACATTTTCTTTAACAAAACGTTCAGCCTCGAGGACTATCATGATTTTTTTGGTGGAGAAATGATCATATCTCTCTTTTCCAAAGAAGTAGTTGTGACGATTGTGTCACCGGGGGGTCTGGGGGGTATGGAATACGGCAGTTTCATTGCAATTTCTATTTAACCATTATGAGGGTACTGATGGTTATGTAGGAAATGTGTTATCAAGTTGTTCTTTGTTGGGCGTTTTCGAATTTTACTTTTCTTTCTGCTGGGGGGTATTCCATACCCTCCCAGACTCCCGGTAACATTTTCTTTAACAAAACGTTCAGCCTCGAGGACTATCATGATTTTTTGGTGGAGAAATGATCATATCTCTCTTTTCCAAAGAAGTAGTTGTGACGATTGTGTCACCGGGGGGTCTGGGGGGTATGGAATACCCCCCAGTATACGATAGTTCCATTGCCATTTCTACTTAACCATCATGAGGGTACTGATGGTTATGTAGGAAATGTGTTATCAAGTTGTTCTTTGTTGGGCGTTTTCGAATTTTACTTTTCTTTCTGCTGGGGGGGGTATACCATACCCTCCCAGACCTCCCGGTAACATTTTCTTTAATAAAACGTTCAGCCTCGAGGACAATCATGATTTTTTTGTGAAGAAATTATATCTCTCATTTCCAAAGAAGTAGTTGTGACGATTGTGTCACCGGGGGGTCTGGGGGGTATGGAATACCCCCCAGTATCCGACAGTTTCATTACCATTTCTATTTAACCATCATGAGGGTACTGTTGGTCATGTGGGAAGTGTGTTATCAAGTTGTTCTTTGCCGGGCGTTATCGAATTTTCCTTTTCCCTCTGCTGGGGGGTATTCCATACCCCCCCCCCCCCCCGATCTCCCGGTAACATTTTCTTTAACAAAACGTTCAGCCTAGAGGACTATCATGATTTTTTTGTGAAGAAATTATCATATCTCTCATTTCCAAAGAAGTAGTTGTGACGATTGTGTCACCGGGGGGTCTGGGGGGTATGGAATACCCCCCAGTATACGATAGTTCCATTGCCATTTCTACTTAACCATCATGAGTGTACTGATGGTTATGTAGGAAATGTGTTATAAAGTTGTTCTTTGTTGGGCGTTTTCGAATTTTACTTTTCTTTCTG